CAGGAGGATGTAAACCCGGAAATGCTTTTTCTTTCAACCCCAAAAGGGGGGAACCTTCTGTGGCTCCAGTTCAAAAACTTAACTTTATGGACCTGCCAATTCGTCCGGTATAAATATCTATTAACGAAGTTTTAGATTTATTATTTTACTTTTTGCTTAATTTATTGGTCTTTTGGAGCTATTATCATGTCTCAGTCTATTCCCTGAATATTTATTTTTACATGTTACAGGGGGAGAAAGAATGTCCTGACTATATGAAAAATGGCTCGTGCAAGTCTGAAACTAACTGCACGTTTAATCACCCTGATCCTACCGCTACAGGAGAAACTGGCCCCCCATCCGGATACATTGATGGTGGACCTGCGTCAGTACAAGGTGCATTGTCATCAACAGCATGGGATTCCCTTTGTGTGCCAATAATTCCGCCATCTCAAGGGATTCCTTCCCAAAATACAGAATGGAATGGTTCTCAGGTACTTTTATTCATCACTCCTATATTAGTGTTGGTTGTTATCACTTTGGTATACCAATCCACATTTTTTTAGGGATAAGATTCAAGTAAGACCACCACCCCCCCACCTTCTCCTTTTCTCCCTCTCTCTTTTTAATGTGATAGTGGCCAGTTGTAGTCATCTGTTTATTTGTTTGTGGGTATTATTACTTCTTGAGTCGTTAAGCTATGGTGAGTCCTGATGATGTTACAAATCATATCCTGTGATGCTGTTCAATTTGCACCAAACAATTTTTTCGTGTATGGATACGTAGAATATATAGAACTACTACATATTCACATGCATGCTTTCCCCTTCAAATTTGTTTTGGTTGTGGCATGTTTAGGATCCAGAATATCTACCAGAGAGAAGCATACCTGCACCTCCACCATATGTTATGAACAAGGCCGTGACTGAAACCAACATCTATGAACAAAATCCACAGCAGAAGCAAGTTGAAGAATTCCCAGAACGACCTGGGCAACCTATTTGCATTTACTTCTTAAGAAAAGGGGATTGCAAGCATAGATCTAATTGCAAATATCACCATCCAAAAAATCAGACTGCAGTACCCCCCTCATGTGCACTGAGTGACAAGGGCCTCCCTTTGAGACCAGTGAGTTCGTACTTCTTTGGAGTGTGCTTTTTAAAGTAATTACATAATTATGGAATATGATCTAACAAGAACCTGTTGCACAATTTTTAAGTGATGGAATAATTGGAAATTTCAAAATTTTACAAGTTTTTAGCTTCCTTTGGATAAATTAGCATGTGCCACGAAAATGTTCATTACTAATACAAATTTGATCTTGGGAAAAACTTGTGTTGAAATTTGTGGACACGTCTCCTTATACATAAAGAATCTTGACTAACCATGAGAACCTATGTTTGATCACTTATTACGCTTCAATATTGCATGTCATTGATCGCACAAAATTTTGTACTAAATTTTGTTTCAAATCCAGGGTGAGAACATTTGCACACAATACAGTAGCTATGGCATTTGCAAGTCTGGGCCAGCCTGTAAATTTGACCATCCGGTATTATCAACTTTCCTTCTGTGACTCAGCGACTACAAATGGGGCAGGAACATCTGGGAGTAGAAGTGAACTGCTGCTACAATTCAGCCGCAGCCTGTGTAATAAGTTTTGCCTGAAATAGCTGCTGGAGCACAGGATTCGCATCACCAAGGACATGTAATCTCTTTTTGTTAGTCTTATAAATGTATCAAAAAATTTCTCCCAGCCACCACCTTTCACTTCTGTTATGGATGACTTTTAGGTCGCAATAGAAATGTGTACTATTGACCCCCAAACCAAACGACTGCTAACAAGGGACAGGTTTTTTTTTTCTTTTCTTCTTGTTTTCTTGATCAATGGGGGCGAGGGATTCAAACTTCTTCAAACGTTAGGAGTATTTGTTTACTTACCATGTACCTTTGCTTACTTAGTATAAGAAAATAATCATGAACATACTCAATCGTACCTTACAATTGCAATTGAGACAGGGAGGGGATATAAAATATATAGTTGAATTACGAGGGATATCAAACTACAAGAGATATAAAATTCCGTAACATACTTATTCATTCACAAATTTGAACAAAAATTCCGTAACATACTTATTCATTCACAAATTTGAACAAAAATTCGGGCGTGTCTCTGAATTTTACAAACAAGGATGTTCATTTACAGAATTGATCAAAAATTTGGACATATCCTTGAATGTTATGAGGATATTAAACTATATAGGTCAAATTGTCAGAACTAAAAATACATGTACGAGGATATCAAACTATATGGGTCAAATTATCAGAACTAAAAACGCACGTACAAAAATAGAAAATCCGACAAAATACATGAAAAAAAAATTGAAAATTAAAAAGCAGATGACTTTGACTTCACCAATTAGAGCAAAAGACTGGCTCAAACTCAATGCCCTGGTGATCAGATGAGTGAGGATGTGCAGAGTGCAAGCAAGCAACCATGGTGGTAGTCGGTGGTTGTTAAGTTGACAGCAAACCCAGCAACCCAGCATCCTTAATCCATCACTAATATTTAATTAATTCTCAAAAACACGATCAGCAGTGATGTTCCCAGCTGCAGCTGCACGTCTCCTACTACCAGTGTCAGTGTCAGTGATTTACGTAATTTATAAGTATTTGAGATCTGGACGGCAAACAGAGAGCTGGGTTTACCCCAATCGCGGTAACAACGACGATGTTCCCCCAAAGTCCGGTAAGAACGGCGTCGTTCCCCCAAAGTCCGGTAAGAATGACGTCGTTCCCTATCCTGAACTGTCTGATGGCGATCTTGAGCTTCTGAAAAATGACCGTGTCCTCAATGATAAGATTCGGACACTCGACCCCGCCGTTCTTGATGACCTTCTGAAAATCGACCCCGTCGCCCTTGATGCGCTTCTGAGAATCGACCACGCCGTCCTCCGCGACTCTGCCGAATTGGATCCTGCCATCATTGATGCGATTTGTAAACTGTCTGAGAAGGAGGAAGGTGACGAAGAGGCCGACTGGAGTTGTAGTCGGCGAGTAACTGAGAGCTCTCTAGTCATCGGGGTTCCCCCAAATTCCGGTAACAACGACGTCCTTCCCACAAATTCCGGTGACAACGACGTCCATCCCCCAAATTCCGGTAACGACGTCCTTCCCTATCCTGGACTGTCTGATCGCGATCTTTCCATCCTTGAAGAGATTCTGAAAGATGATCCTGTCCTCCTTTATGAGATTCGGACACTTGACCCCGTCGTTATTAATGCGCTTCGGAAAATCGATCCCGCCGTCCTCCGTGAGATGGTGTTCGACTCTGCTGAGGTGGATCCTACCATCATTGATGCGATTCGTAAATTGTGTTTGAAACGAAAGGAGGAAGATGAACAAGAGGCTAAGGGGAGTTGTAGTGGCCGAGAAACTGAAAGCGAAAACGAAAATGGAAACGAGACACAGAGCCAAGAGAGGGATGAGGAAATAAGCAGAAGCCATCATTACCCATTGAGACCTGAAGCTCCAGACTGTTCGTATTATCTAAAGACTGGGACTTGTAAGTTTAGGTCCAACTGCAAGTTTAATCACCCTCGCACAACAACGAAAAACAATCAGGTATCTGTCTTTTTTCGCCTTCAGCATTTGCAAATGTATGCTATAATGTATGTTTATGGTTGAAAGGTTGAGAATTTTTATGTTTGCCCGGTCTCGGCCTCATTTCAGCTGACAATTGCTGGCAGCAGCAAAGCCATGTCTGTTTTTCTATAGGTTTATTGGTTTAGTCGTTAGTGTATGTATAATGTTATATACGTTCATGTGTTGTTATAGTGTGAAGACTGTAATTTTTGTCCGCGGAATTGACTCGAAATGAAGTGACGCACCACTTTCGTATTTGCTAAAAAATGATATTGCCATAGAAGAGATTTTACTTTTGCTTGTAGCCGAAAGCCTGGAACTGGCTTTTTCTTTTGCATACATCTTTGTGGTGAAAATTGTTGTGCCAGAGAAATGGGGACATTGGGTCCACCTTAGTATTTGAGACATAAATGTTATACCACTTGAGCTTGTTGCAGGATTACTTCTGGTCAGGAGGACGTAAAGACGGAAGAGATGGTAGTTTCAACCCCAGAAGCAGGGAACCTTCTGCAGCTCCATTTGTAGAAAATTTTATGGGCCTGCCAATTCGTCTGGTATAAATTTTAGGTTTGATCTGCAAAATTTTGAGGAATGAATATCTATTCATGATCTTTATGATTTTATCTTTGCGTATATTCTTGGTCTTTTGGAGCTATTATCATGTCTCAGTCTGTTCTTTGAATATTTATGTTAACGTGTTACAGGGGGAGAGAGACTGTCCCTACTATATGCGAAATCTCTCCTGCGGGTATGGTTTAAGCTGCAGGTTTAATCACCCTGATCCTACACCTGCAGGAGAATCTGAACCCCCATCTGGATATGGTAATGGTGGACCTGCATCAGTGCAAGGTGCATCGTCATCAACAGCAGCACGATGGTCTGCACCAAGATCATTGAACAATGCTCCACTTATAATTCCACCATCTCAAGGGATTTCTTCCAGAAATACAGAACACAATGGTTATCAGGTACTTTTATTCATCACTCCCTTATTATAGTCATCAGTTTCTGGAACTGTCATCACTTTGATATACATTTTAACATTTTTTAAGGGATAGTAAGAATTTTTTTTTCATGTTACTTAGAAAAAAAACCATTTTTAGTATGGCCTCTCTCTCTCTCTCTCTCTCTCTCTGTGTTGTGGCATGTTTAGGCTACAGAAACAAGTATGCCTGCACCTCCACCATATGTTATGAACCACTTAGTGACTGAAACCAACGCTTATGAACAATATCCACAGCAGCAGCAAGTTGAAGAGCTCCCACAACGACCTGGGCAACCTGTTTGCATTTACTTCTCAACAACAGGGGATTGTAAGTTTAAATCTAATTGCAAATATCACCATCCGAAAAATCAGACTGCAGTGTCCCCCTCATGTGCACTGAATGACAAGGGCCTGCCTTTGAGACCAGTAAGTTCACTTTTCTTTGAATTGTGCTTTTCAAAAGTGAATACATAATTATGGAATATGATCTAACAAGTAGCTGTTGTACAATTTTTTTAAGTGATGGAATAATTGGAAAGTTCAAAATTTTGTAAGTTGTTAACTTCCTTTGAATAAATTAGCAGTGTGCCATAGAGATGTTCATTACTAATACAAATTTGACCTTGGGACAAAATTGTAGTCAAAGTTGTGGACATCTCTCTTTCAACATAAAGATTCTTGACTAACCATGACAGCCTATGTTTGATCACATATTACGCTTCATTATTGCATGTCATTGATCACACAAATTTTGTGTTAAATTTGTAATCCCAGGGTCAGAACATCTGCACACAATACAGTAGCTATGGCATTTGCAATTCTGGTCCAGCTTGTAAATTTGACCATCCGTCATTATGAACTTCCCTTCTGTGACCCGACGACTACCAATGGGGCACGGACATCTGGGAGTAGAAGTAGAACTGATGCTACAATCAGCCGCAGCCTGTGTAATAAGTTTATAGCATGAAAGGGCAGTTATTGCACGAATTCGCATCACCAAGGACATGTAATCTCTTTTTCTTATTTAGTCTTGGAAATGTATTAAACTTTTTCTCCCAGCTGCCACAGGCCTTTTAGTTTCGGGTGTGAGAACTTAATGGAAACAGGACATGTAAATAATTTCATATTTATGTCATTTTACCAGAAAATCTAAGTTTAATTCGGAATGTCCTCCGAAATTTATGGTTACGGTCTCTTACGAGTATCTTCAATAGGCCACTTCTGTAATGGACTGCCAGTAAGGGAGAGAAGGGGGTTTTCTTTTAATCAGTGGGCGATGGGGGTTCACTCTGTTCCTCCTGAAATGAATTAGCTTCAGGGCTTGATGGGGCTGATGTGATTCATACAAGGTCCTGCAGCCATATATATTTCTAGAGCAATTTCCACAGAACTAAGCAGTGAACTACAGGTACAATAGTAATATATTTTAGAGATATTTAGTCATATACCCATTCTTAGCACTAAAACTATAAATAAACCCTACACCATTTATTTTATATAAATACACCCAAAAAATGATAGCTGATCCTTTTGAATTTAATTTTGATTATTAAATTACTTTGATGTCTTATTGAGTGTTTTGGGCTTTTTTTATGAGGTTTTGGGGTTGAGTTTGTTTTAAGAAATCAATGGTAGTTTTGTAATTTAAAAGAAGTTTAAAGCCTTTTTGTTATGTTGTAAATAGGTTTTGGGTGTGTTTCTAAAGTCCCTTTCATATAAGGTTTTTTTTATAATTTGGGCTCTTATATTGGGTATAATAGTGAATCTCCTTATATTTTACTCTTATTAGTAATAGAGTGAGATTGTTGTGCCCAAGTATTAAACTGAGAACCACAAATTTCTGTATGTATATATTACAAATTTTTATGTTTACCAGTCCTCTTTTTCATTCTATATAACAAAATATATATGCAAAACCTTTTGAGACATATATATAGAAGACAAAAGAAGCCAAAATCAAGCACAAGTGAAAAGGAAAGGAAGGAACCAAAAAAAAACTGTTTATATATGAGAATTTGCTGTTCCACATCTTTCCCAGGCACCAGAAAGTGTCTTTGCTTGTAGCTCCTCCCAGTCCCACCTAATATATTGCATTATCATCACCATGCCCCAAAAGCAGTTGTTGATTTATGTCAACCACAGCAAAACCATCTCTTCTGCAATATTCAATCAGAAAAACAACAATGCTCTGAGAAATAGGCAAAAAATGACATTGACAGACACGACCCAAAAGTCAAATTCCATGAGCACCTCTAGTATTTGTTTTACCTTTGAGGGAGGATATTTGGGATAATGCTCATTGACAGTGTTGTATCCAGCACCATTTCTTCGTAGGCTGCCGTCAGTTTTTCGTGGGGTGACCATCTTCACTTGAGCTGCACTGGTCTTCTTTTCATCTCTGGCCTTGCTGAATATTACAGTAAATCCTTCAGCTGAAGCTGGGTTATTTACATCCCACTCCCCAAATTTAGGTAATGGCCGACCTTTATCCTGCTGAATTATTGAAAAAGAAGAAGCTCCCGTTAGTATCTACCACACTAACTAGCTAGGTCATCTGTCTCATTTTGATGTTCGTTGCCCATTACGATTTATACAAACATACGTGCGCATGCACAAACCTCGATACTAATTGTTCTATAAAGATCGGAAAAAAAATAAACATGGTTTTGATGAATCCTATATCGAACCCATTTCTCCACACATCTGCCTTCATTCTTCACCTCCTTTCTCTAACCTTAACCTTCCCTCCACATCAATCCTCTGCCTTTAGTACATAAACTGTGTGAAGACTAAAGGTTTACCATTTACCTTGCTGACTTAGTATTTAAATAACTTAAGAAAAGAATCATGAACAAACACATTGTACCGTCACAATTGTGATGGAGACAGGGAGGGAACATACATAATTCCTATATATTCTTACCCAATTTAATAACTTTGATCTCGAGGAATTTAACATGTAAGATCGATATCAATTCGATCAATTAGGGCAACAAAATTGCACCAGGGAAACTGAAAAACAAAGAAGATGATGAAGGAAGATCCTCCATGGAAGACCAATGTTAGAGTCCCTTTAACTATATTGCATACGTATCCAAGCATGCATGACACATTGGAATGCTAGGAATTACGGAAAGAGATTGTCTTTAGGACATTACAATAGAAAACCTAAAACTCATTCTTTCACCTTTATGACAAAAGAAATTGCCCAAACTTCTAAATAAGAAATTGAATAAGAAACTTCAAGATGAAATTAACAACATGCATGCATGCATGCCTTGCCTATAGATACATAAAATTAAAATAAAACAAAACGAGGGGAAGAAAAAAAAAGAAAGAAGATGTTACCGAAGCCATGATGGAGGGAAGGCGGGAGCTGCCGACTGGATGGTTTGGAGGAGGAAGTTTTACAAGAAAAGGAAAAAATACTATAAAGGAGAGGGGATGTTGTAGAGTCAAAAGACTCTAGAGAGAGAAACAAGGAGCGATTTGTTAGGCCATTTTAGGAGATGAGCCTTTTTGTTAATCTTGTTGATTGTTATCCTTTCTCTTCTCCCTCGTTAATGTTTGCATGTTTTGTTGCCTACGTAGCAAATATGTTGAGGTACACACATGTACGCACCGTTTCTGTCCTCTAGATCCATGTGTCATGGCACCTTTGATGTGCTGAACTGTAAATTATATAAAATATATCGAATGTATTAAAGATTACACCAGTTGATGTGGCAACCGCTTATTTATTTTCTTTAGTGAAACCCAAAAATTGTGAAAATTCATTCTTGAAATCCCAAAAGTTGCAAAAATTCATGAATGAATGAATCATCATCTTTTGAAATTTCATCCTCGAGTTCTGTCTAAGAAATTTCACTTTCGTGGGTTATTTTTCAACTTTTTGAGTTCCACTAAACTATGTGATACAATGAAAGCTAAGCATATTAACGAACTCCAAATTACAAAGTGCATTTGAAAGACTCGAAATTCATTCACAAAACTTCAGAATTCACAATATCAGGCTTTTGAAGTTGGAGGTGGAGGGTTGCAGCTTTACAACACTCAATAGCTGAAAAAGAATGCTTAGCAGATTTTGATGAAGGCAAGTCCCGTAACGAGTGCAAATAGACGACGATGCCTAAGGTTCAACCAGTCCAAGTACGACCTCGCTCAAGAAATCATTGCAAACAGTAGAAAACATAGTCCTCAACAAATAAACATTTCTTCCACCATTTCTCAAGAAAATGTGATTGGCGAATCATTGCAAGTATTTCAATGATTGATCCAATTTATGATTTAGGGATTATGACAACTTCTATAATGCACTAGCAAATCGACGTCGTTTGAACTAGAAATGCTCTGTTGGGATTTGGAATGATAAAATGGCACAACTGTGGCTATCATGTCAGTAAAAAAAAATGGGGCAGTAATTCAATGAGCAGAAACACAAGTTCCCAAATTACCTCCTCCCCCTCCAACCACCGTCAAAGAATTCACTAAAATAATTCTCAGCCACAGCTACAATTTTTTACAAATCATCTATTTACAGAGACAATCATCTTCTACCTTTGCCGTACATGAACAAAAAGTACAATATCATACAAGCTGTATCAGTCGAAAATATACAATCTCTGGAAAGTTGCAGTGGCCAAAAATTTCAAGGGAGGGGCGCACCGTTCAGACCTCGACGTTAGCTTTGTTTCCAGCAAGAATGAGCGAGATTTCCAACCCACGGCTAAAGGCTTGGTTAAACAGAAGCCGAGACTGGAAGGTGGAGATGAATGGGAACCATGACAAGAATGCTATTGGGGCGAAAATGAGCATACCCATACCAGCATCGTACATTCTGGCAAACTCCCTTACTGAGTCCCATAAGCCCAGACTTCTGACGATCTTTTTCCAAGTGATGGCTAGCTGTTTTAGGCACAACCAATTCCGATTAAAAGAAAGATAGGAAATCACAGTATAAATTGAATAACACAAGTTAAAAATGTAATATGAATGCAAGCCTAAAAGATTAACTTACGCATAGTATGGCCCATCCAGTAGGAACAATTGCAAGGAAGCTTGCAAATAGGTCCGGTACTGAAAGTTTAGTAAATAGAACAAGAACAGCAATAACTGCAACAAGTCCCAAGGATGCCACACCCTGTATAAATCTCATCACTAGCTGGAAGTTGGCTGACTTTTTAGGACTGAAGGTGAAAACCTGCAATGTAAAATAGATTTAGCCATGAAGAGTACGAGTTTCACTAACATCAAGCACGCTCAAGGGCATGAGGCAAGGGTTAGCTTTCTTGATACAAACCTTGAAAATCATGACAATAGCTACCAATACAACCCAAGAGAAGCCGTAAATCTGGATTCCCAAAAAAGAAAGAACTGTCAAGATAAAGAACAAAGAATGCCAACAATCAAAAGCATATGTCCCATCTAAAATCACAAAAAGGTTCAAGTGATATGAAGTGTACCGCAAGTGATGTGCCCTTTCCAGTTATATGGAGTTTGTACACAATGCCATATTGAAACAAGAAGAACCTCAAGCTCAAAATTGTTTCCAATATACGACCTCTCAATGTTTGAATATGCATCTGCATGAGCAGAAAAAACAACTTGACATATACAACAAACAAAACAAATAGTAAAAAGCAAAAACACTTTTTAACACACAATAAAACACAAGGGGGGGGTGAAGTTTAGCTCCACCAGTTGGCATCCAGAGGGAGAGAGAGAGATTCCTTGAGATACAAGTTCAGAACAAAAAGATAAAAACTTTGTTTGCAAAACTGTGGACGTGAAGATCGCCTTGAACATACAACACAGCTCTACATAACAACAGAATGACCCACAATCCTAAACAAAACTTGATTAAAGAACAACTAACATGCAGCAGCCTCCAGCCTTAAAGAAGAGCAGAAATAAATCCTTTAACAAAAACCTATTCAGAAGCTCGCATCACGAAAACTTCTGTAAACTGAGAAATTTGTATAAAGAAAAAATAACGAAAGAACAGAAACAATATTGTTGAAGTACAGTTGAGTTACAAACCTGCTCTTCATCCCACCAAGATTCCCAGCTATTCTCTCCCTTAACTCCTACTCCACCTCTGTAAAGAAGCCAACTAGTCCAATCATCAAAATCCTCCACCGTCCTGTTTCATTAACAAGACAACAGCTCAGTTGTTTCAAAAGAAAGTGAACAGCTTCACATAAAGATAACCCAAACTAAAATGTCATAGAAAAAGTAGATACAAAGATTCCACAAAAAGTGGATATAACATACTTCTGCCACTCGAAACCAGAGGGATTAAAGATATAGGGAGCAAACAACCAGGAGATGACTAGGAACCAACTACTGAGAGTTAGCAAAACGAAAGAAACAGCACCACCATCTGTGTACCCATATGCAATGTAAACTATGAGAAGCAGAGCCACTTCAAACCTGCAAATATTAAGTAATGAGAACTAACAAAAAAAAGGGTTTAAGAGCTTCAGGAAAATGAGAGCAACCCCCCATCCAAAAAATAAAAAAAAGGAAAAGAATTTATTTATTCATCACTAGAAAATGTCACTCACGCTTTGACAAAATGACTTCTAGAGTAGAGCCTATAATTTTCAGCAAACTTTATGTGACGAACAACAAAGCCTCTACCAGTAGCTCGGTACTGTTGGGGAAATGAAAAATGCAAATATAACCAATTAATTCCATAAAATAACACAAGCAAGAAAACAAAAACAGAGCTTCTAACAAAGGAGAAGTAAACCAAATACATACCTTTGCACCTCCATGGAGGATGGTGCGCCCAAAATAATGAGTTCTAGTTCCTAACGAGAACGTGAAGAACACAGAACATAACTGAAGCTGCATTGTGATAAAACTAAAAACCGCCTGCAACACATAAAAGGATTTTAATTACAAAAGCTACCAGGATTTTAAATGCTATACATTTCCATAATTATGTATACAAATCCAGAGCCCTAGAAGCCTAAGCCTAGAAGTAATTACTTTATCTTGTGGTTTCTAGTTACCATCCTGGTAAACTAAAAGCTGAAGCTAACAATGCCAAGAGTATGCAGCCCCATTGTACGATAGAATCAGAGAGAGGGACATTAAACATGAGCATGACTCTGATGAGAATTAAATAGACTAACCTTCAGCAATCCCAGTTCAAGTATAAAGCCCATTATCATTGGCACTGCAGTAAAAATTCCAATTTGGACCAAGAACTGTGCATTCAAAACAGCATCCAATGCTGTGTTACCCGACAATTTTGCTTGCGTCGCAATCGCACGATCAATTCCAGAGAAAGCCTATAAGATTTCACAAAAAGGCATCATATATAATGCATTGACATAAAGTGAACTTGTTCACCACCTAACCATTTTTTCAGTAGACAGAAAGTAACAGAGTTACTAATAAGACCCACATATGGTAATTTCCTAGCTTATAAAAAAAAATATGAAGCGAAAGAGTAATATTAAGATACTTGTAAGTTTTTTTTTTAAAAGAAACAATTTTTATTAACAAAGAGACAAAAGATTGAGTATCTACTATTCATACTTTTTAAGACACAACTTTTTATACTTTTTTATCAACTATTTATACTTTTTAAGACAAAACTAATCAAAAAGTTTATGCATTTCTGTAACATCTCTGGGGTAACTCATTCATTTGAAAGATATTTTAGCTAGTCATGCAAGGTGGTTCCTGCATAAGCAGTGAGTATCTAAACTTGCCTAGCTATTTGACACAATTATCTCTCCTCCAATATGGTTTAAGTTACCACTTACCAGATAAGCCCTTCCATATAGGAATATGTATACTACGAGGACAGTCATCTGCATTATGAACCAACTGTCATAAAAAATTTCCAGAAACACAAATCTGAAGAACAAATAAAAATATACAAATATGCAGGAGTCAGAAACAAAATACCATTGTACACACGTAGAAACCAATGGTTGTGTAAAAGTAAGAGAACATTCTAAAAAAATCAAAGAGTTGTCCAAGCCTGTACACATCCCTACTAAGGACTTGCTCCCCATTTCCACCTGCCACTTTCCCTTCAAATAATGCAATCTGGTTTAACCCAACATCCCTTCCTTTTCCAACCTGCACAAAGAGGCAGGCTATCAAATGACCATAAAGATACGTTTCACTTAAATAGAGAAAAACATTCGCGTAAGTATAGAACCTGAATGTATTCGTGGTGTGTAATGTTACCCTGCCTCAGGGTGGAGTTGAACCCTGCACAATTTGTTTCCACCCAGTTGATAAGCTAGACCAAAAGACACTATAATAAAGCATACTAACCCAAAATGTATTACATTAAACCCAAAATATATATATATCAAAGTAGAAGTCATCATTTGGAACCACTTTCTATAGTGAACGCTCAAAATCAATAAGGTTAGGTAAAGAGAAAAAAATCCCCAACAATAGCTGCAGATTGACATGAACTACTTTTTCAGATAATGCATCAATCTGCATTCAAAAATTAACTAATTATGAAATAAGTTACATATAAAATTGCTGAAATTCTTTACACTTTACAGTATAAATATAGTAACAAAAGATTAACTTAGGAAATTGACAAACAAGGAAAACTCCTTTTACCGCCTATGCAGAGAAAATAACACCCTAGGCAATTGCTCAAAATTTCGGAACACAATTTTCTTTTATTTATTTTTTCTGAATAACATGTTCTAATAAAGAAAGACGGATATACCCATTTAAAAACAATTTTAATGGGGTTAACAAATTCTGATTTATCAGTAACCGAGAGGCATTAGTGTAACCACTGTTCAAAACAAATCAGTCATTAGTTGCAGATATAAGAAACAAATCATCAGCATCATATATGCTTACCTGCAAAAATATCTTCACTAATATTAATAACGCGTGAGGCTTTACTAATACCACCTCGGGTAGTGTGGAAAATTCGATCAAACACATCCGGGTGTCCATAGTGCATGCGAACTCTGCATATTGAGGAAAGCAAACTCAAACTTAAGCCCACGCCAGGAAATAGTAATTAAACAGAAAACAAACCAAACCCATTTTGTAACCACAAATTCAAAATGTTCTTAAAATGCGGCCAAGTTATAAAATACTCACTTGAGAGGATAAGCTAAAACTCGTTGGGCTAAAGTCACAAAGCTGGTCTCTTGGTTGGACATGAACCATGCTAAAGATGAAACACTGCATGGATTCATTCAAGACACATGTAAGCAATTCTCAGAGCAACCACTTATGCTGGCCATCATAAAAAGAAACCACATAAATAAAAACTGGAATAAAAAAACGCTGGCCATACCTTCCTGTAAAGACATGCTCTCTCACACCAAGAATAGTCGGAGGTCGTAGGCCATGATTTTTGTGAAATTCCTCCAGGAGATTTCTCATTTTCATTGCCTCCTCCAGGTAATTGTCCTAAAGAACAAAATAAGAGCATATATAAATCATTTGTTATATCATCCTCAATTGTGGTAAGTTGCAAATCTCATATGTAGAAGTAGTCTTGTGTGCCAAAATGCAGATGATAACAAAAGAGAAATGGGGCGTGTATGGTGCATAAATTCTATATACAAAAGGAACCAACAGTCCACTAACTTAAACACCAAAAAGAGAGGCAAAGAGAGTTTGAAAAAGAAGCAGCAAAACACCCAGGTACAAACAAAACACAAAACAACTAGAAAGCTTAATATTTGGTCACCTGGTTCATGTCAATAGTCTGAACAGCTTCTCCGCGAGTGAAGACTATGGCATGATTTTGATTTTCAGGCTTCCCTTCACCTAGCTTCGGATCACCAGGAAGTTTAATGGAGTATATTTCCTATGAATTGATATTAGACAAGAACACATAAGCACACCACCAGATTAATAAGTGCAATTAAAAGATGAATTAGCAGCAGTGCATGCAATTGGTTGGACTATGCACCTAGCCATTTATAACACTTGAGCTTGGAGCTTCAATATGTCATTAGAGTCATCTAGGATGACTAAAAGGTAGTCTCATGCAAAAGCAAAATAATTCTAGACTAGATGAAACTTTAAACTGCATGGAAGAAAAGGTGCGTAAACAGAACTTCACATTACCTGATCCTTTCCATGTATATCGGCCTTGACAAGCTTTGAATAAAATTCTTTTGTGGTTTTTCCTTCAATTGCACCACTCTCCTCAACATGTATATACGCAACCCGAAGGGCCTCATTTCTAGTAACCAAACATGAATTGAAAGTATTATCATATAGATAAAAAATAGAAAAAAACAAAACCCACACCACCATCCAGTTTCATAAAATTAAGGTTTTGGGGGAACACCTCCTGACTGGAACAGCTCATTTTTAATTTTTAGAAGTGGAGGGTGTAGGTGTTATTGAGAACGAGGAGGGCATGGAGTCAGAGGCAATCAATTTTTTCATGAGGCTTTACAGTAGTAATGACGAAGTAGGTTGGGGTGTGGAGGGTTAAATTGGTGCCCTATTAGCACGGTGCATGTGGCTTGGATCGAGGGGCCGTTTGAAGAGGCGGAGGTTCGTATTGCAGTTTTTTATTGTGGGAAGGACAAGTCGGCAGGAGCCGATGGTTTCACCTTGTTCTTCTTTCAATCTTGCTGGGACATCGTGAAAGGTGATCTTATGAAGGTAATATAAAATTTCTATGATACTGGGATCATCAATGTTGTTACAAACGAAACCTTAATTAGTCTTATCCCCAAAAAGAAGGACTTTGTTAAGCTTAGGGATTACAGGCCTATTAGTTTCGTGACTAGCTTATACAAAGTGGTGTCCAAAGTCTTGGCATCGAGACTGGGGGAGGTTTTGGACAAGACTATTTCCCTCTCCCAAGGAGCTTTTGTGAAAAATAGGCAGATTTTGGATGTTGTTTTAGTTGCAAATGAGGTTGTCAAGGATGCCAAGAAGTCAAATAAGTCAGGATTGGTCTTTAAAATTGATTTCGAACATGTAGAATGGAGATTTGTGGATGATGTTTCGGAAAGAAAGGGTTTTTGGAGGGCGATGGAGAAGCTGGATCAGGGGATCAGGGGCTGTTTAGAGTCGGTCAACTTCTCTATCATGATTAACGGAAGGCCCAGGGGCAAATTCACGACGACTAGAGGGGTGAGACAAGGGGATCCGTTATCTGTTCACTTTGGTTATTGATGTTCTAATTCCCACAAGAGAACAGTTTGATTCATGGTCTTATTACTAGAAGTGATAGAGTGGAGGTTTCTCATCTCCAATTTGCTGATGACACTATATTCTTACTCGAGGAAGTGGAGGAGTACTGGTTTAATCTTCTTGAGTTGCTGGATTTTTTTTGCCTTGTTTCTGGCATGAAATTAATAAATCTAAATGTTCTCTTGTAGCTCTACATATTTGAATTTGCTAGCTAGCAGTTGGGGTTGCGAGGTGGGTGAGTGGCCTATGAAGTATTTAAGTCTTCCCCTCAGCGGTAATCCTAGAGCAATTGTCTTTTGGGAGCCTGTGGTGGAGAAGATTCAAATGAGGCTTTAAAAGTGGAAAAGAGCATTTCTTTCTAGAGGTGGAAGGTTAACTTTAATTCAAGCGGTTTTGAGTAGTATCCCATCCTATTATATGTCTCTTTTTAAAATGCCTAGTAGTGTGGTTAATAAAGTGGAAAAGCTCATGAGATCATGCTTATGGGAAGGAGTGAAGGAAGTGAAGAAGGACCATTTGGTTATATGGGAATTAGTGGGCAAATTTAAGATTGAAGGTGGGCTTGGAGTGGGTTCTTCGACGGAAAAGAATGAAGCTTTGCATGCTAAATGGTTGTGGCGTTCCCCTTTGGAACCTAATTCCTTGTGGTATTTTGTGATTTGGAGTAAGTACGGGGTTGCTAGGAATGGGTGGGATGCCAATCCTGTTACTACGGACTCCTTTTGTAATTCTTGGAAGGATATTTCTTCTGGTTACAATTCCTTTTTACAGTGTTGTAGGTTTGAGGTGGGAAATGGGGATAGGGTGAGATTTTGGGAGAACAATTGGGTAAGGGAGGGGGTTTTCAAGGATATTTTTCCCAAATTGTTTGCGCTATCTACGAAGCACTTTTTATGTATTTCTCGTTTCGTGGACATTCAGGTGTTCCCTTATAATTGGGACTTTGGCTTTAAGAGGAATCTAAATGAGAGGGAGTTAGCTGAGGTGATCAAGTTGCTGGACATTCTTGACATAATTAGATTCTCCTTCCAGATTGGACAAGAGATGGTTGGAGCTCGAGGGATCAGGTTCTTTCTCGTGCAAATCTTTTCGTTCTTTTCTTCTCAACAATGGGATGACGGAGGCCTTTCCTCCTTATTCTCTAATATGGAAGGCCAAATCTCCTCCTAAGGTTAAAGTTCTCATTTGGTTGGCGGCCCTTAGGAAAGCAAACACATCTGATCTTGTCCAAAGACGAAGACCGTACATGTATTTGTCTCCACACTGGTGTGCTATGCAAAATGAGTGACGAAAGCGTGGATCACCTTTTTTACAATGCCCCTTTTCGTTAAGTCTTTCATGGACCTTGTTGAGGGAGGTTAAGACTGTTTAGGTTAATTCAAAAGGTTGCTATGATCTTCTCTGTTCCCATTTTGTCATTTGGGGCAGGGGGAAACATGCTTCAACCTTATGGGGTTGCTTGGTACAGTCTGTATTTTGGAACATTTGGATGGAGCACAACATGAGGATTTTTTATGAGTATGAGGGAGTGGGTGTTGGTGAATTATGGGATAGAGTTAAATTCTGTCTTTTCTTTCGTCTTTTCGGTCTATATTTTCGTCTCCTCGACCTCTTATATTCTTCTATGTTCTATTGTTTGAGTGCTTAATTATGGGCTGTTCTACATCAAAGTCTTTGTCTATATTAGTCCAAGGTCAAGGCCGACTTTGTACCTGGTTGACTTTATAAATGGTCCTTAAGAATTGTCATGCCTATGGCACCCTAAAATTAATTTATAATTTGAGATTGTATAAATATGTGCCTTGACTTAGACATTTGGTTTCGTTACTCGTATAATCATTTTGTCTGATAGGTTTGTTTTAGTATTTTGTCATGCATTATTGATATTGTATGTTGTGTATGTAATCAACTTGTTATTTTTCAGGACTGCAATTGTTTTAGGCACCAGTATACCACTTGTTTTATTTCTAGTCTGGAATGCCGTGATTCTAGGAACCATCACAACTGTTGAAATGAGCTCAGATAAGATCATGGATCCATTACAACAATTGCTATCTACGAACGAAGTTGTTGGAGTAGGTTTATCACAAGAGTCGTTCTTGAATTTCTTTGAAGTAACAGATAGTATGTGAAGCGATAAAGTTCTATTTTCCTTTCCTTTTCTTTTACTTTGTTGTTTTAATTTTTTTTTCAGCCTATTGTTGAGGTGTTCTCACTTTTTGCTATTGCAACGTCGTACATCGGCTTTGTTTTGGGTCTCTCTGACTTCCTTTCTGACTGTGAGTTCCACCTAACGATTCATCTTTTTTCAATATGAATGTGTATTTAATTAGTAGAAGATATATGATCAAAGACTGGGCTTCTGTCACTTCAGATTTCAAAGACTATTCTTACTCCACTATATTGAGGGATATGGCTGCTGCTGTGATGTGAAGTGTTTGTTTTGCGACTTGGTTTCTTTGGGTCTTTCTGGTGTCGCAGTCTTTATGCAGTTTGGCTGGTGTCCTTGTTTTTTAAGTCTCTTTTTCTGTTGTTGCTCGTTTGGCTTGTGGATTTCTTATCCACCTCTGTGTTCCTCCTTTTTATTCTTTCAATAAATTTTGTTTCTATTCAAAAAATAAATAAAAAAGATAAAGGGGTCAACATAACTCAAAACTTGAGAAATTCGTTATGTTTAACAGATCATACCTCTGCAACAAAAGGGATATATCAGCAGCCTCTGGTGCCTTTCTCTGCTTCTGTTGCCCATAAATTTGGCATGATACCACGTAAGTAAACTTCAAATCTGCTTGTGCTCGTGATTCACGCGACAACTCAAAGCCTTGACTTGTGAAGGCAACATTTTGAGGATGATCGTCCACTGTCACTGATGGAAGAAATGTTAAAATGATATTCATAGCTGAAGTGCTCCCTCAAATAGAAACTTGAGAGCAAAGTTCTCAAAGGAAATACCTCCCAATGATCTTCTTTCCAGATAACTCTGTAGCATTAAAGCCCTTCTGTAATACATCATACCACGCACTGTAATTTCAAAAACATCAAATCATCAGATACAAGCCACATCACAAACCAACCTAACTGTCATAGGATGACATATAAATGGACTACATGGCATGCAAAGTTTTCAAACAAATGCCGGTGAAGAGAGCAAGTGAAAACTGACCGGTCCTGGCTAAAGTCTGCCCACGATAAGATACCCAAAAGCGAAGCTCCAAAGAATCACTTGAGTTTTCCTGCAGCTCAGCATCCCCAGTAGACTCACCCCGACCAATCCGTTCCAAAAAGTTGTCCCACTCATCTAATATGAAAGAAAAATCCTTAGCCATTTACCATAAAATAAATAGAGAGAAGTCAACAAAAAGAAAATCAATGAGATATAAACTACAGCCAGTCAATAGTTTGCAGTGCAGAAAATTTTCACTAGGATTGGATTCCCAAAACAGGTCAAGGATCTGTCCCAAAGAAGCAAGGATAAGTTGAAACAAACATTTAAGCTTGTTTGGGGTTTAATTCAATAAGACCTTCAAGTTAAGTGACCAATTCCATTGCATCTTGAGGTGGATAATAATTAAGCCACCCAAGATCAAATGCCCTCGTAGAAGATGCTTGATTCAAGATCAAATCTGCCTAGTTTTAACTTAAGAAAGCACAAAAAATCCTAAAATTTGGCTCCTATCAGCTCAAATACATATTAAGATTTTATAGACTAATCAGCGGCCCACACTAATTGGTCCAACACCAACGCTGTCCCCATCTAGGATTTATCACAAAAGGCCTCAATGTTATTAGTAGTGGAACCAACTTATCTATTGTATTTTGTCAAAGTTTCCGATCTGGTATTTTTACATTCTTCAACACACCCACTCACGTGAGACCACCAAATAGTGGTCCAGACATGCAGCCAATTCCACATCAGTCTTTGATCTTTTTTTAGGGTAGTTAAGGCTTAGGAAATTGAGCCCAGTCAATCGTTCAAGCCCGGCATGAAAATACCACGTACTGGGTAAATACCAGTGCTTTAAAAGGCGCGCAGATTCCACGTCGAGGCGAAGCAACTTACCTTTCATGCATATTTGAGGCGCGTTTGAGGCGTGGAAGAAATGGCAATATTCCTATCAGCCGATGAACTACAACGGTTATAATTCTAATGGCTCGAATAGCCAATCCATCGGCCAACATGGTGACCACAACCACTATGGCCAATACAATTTTACCCATCAAGGTGGGTCTAACAACCAATATGACTCAAGTAGTCAAGTTGGTGGCCAATATGGTAGGCACAACTATATTGGCGGATATGATCTTATGAACCAAAATGGTTCGCGCTCTGCTGTGTCTACCTTTTTTTTATAATTAAAACCTAGGGCCCAAAACAAATGACATCGTGGACCCTGTGTTAATGTTTTTTTTTTAAACATCGCGCTCAACCTCGCCCCCTTCTCTCACTGCAGCGCTCGACTTCTCCCCCTCCCCCTCTTCTAAAATCCCTAAAATCCACCCTAAACCTCTAAATTTCATATAAGTTATAACCCAGGTAGTTTTTCACCATTTTCAACCTATTCAAGTGGTAATTTCATTATTTTTTACACCAACACAGCAAGGATTCGGCACCTAGGGGTTTGGGCACTTAGGATTTTATTTTATATATAATATATATTTTAATTATATTATTCATAAGCATGGAATGATAACGCCTCAGTAAAATGCCTCGCTCTACCCTCAACGTTTTAAAGCATTGGTGAAGACCCAGTAATTCGGGCCCAGTCAATCAGTAGATTATCTGCCTCCGTGTGGGGTTTTATCACAAAATGTCTTTTTCTTAGTAGTGGAACCACGCACTTGTATATTGTATTTTATTTTGTCAAGTTCCCAATGCTGTATTTTTACATTCTCCAACAGTACAGTCCTACCAGACTAAGCCACACATGTAAACTTACTGTATATAATGGATTATCTGCATTTGCAGTTAACTCAGTCACATGACATAAGGGCATCATTTAAATTATGAAATTACCATATTCGTAAGTTGTTAAGCTTACATCAGACAAAGGAGAGACAATGAATTTGATCATGTGAACATATTAATATAAATCCAAGATAACAATGTACCTGGAAAAATTTTCTGAAGATAGAAAAGAATTGATATTCCATCCTCATTTTCAACCCGCAATTCGGAGGAACTATAAAGTACAGTCTCACTGTAGTATGGGGTGAAGACACTGTTCTCAAACAAACCAACAGATGTTTAATAGAAAATAAAAAATAAATTATGATATAAACAGTTAATGAAATTTCAGCTCATCTGAAGAAAATCACGTCTACCTGAAAGGCACCATTTCACTAACTGGCTTTGCTGAAGGCATGTCCATAAATAACGAATTTGTAAAAAACTCTAATCTTCTTCTTGCTTCAAGATTCTTTGGAATATTTGCTGCAGAATCCTTTACAGTAAGAAGAAGGTGTAACCGCTTCACCAGCTCTTTCTGTGGCAACAATTAAAAAGTATATAATATTAAAAAGGTCAACCCGGAAAATTTCAAACATTATACAGAATGATCTGGTTCTTTTCCCTTTTTGTTTCCATTCAAAGATCCTTACAGTTTCTGGATCATTGGCCCACTTTATCCTAGAAAACAAGCGCCCTTCATTTCTTGCTCTTGCTAAAAGGCTCCATGTATCAAGCTGCTCCCTGAAGCATTTCGAAGGAAGAGGGCAAAAACAAAAAAATTAAAAAAACACAACAAAGCAAGAAATACGACATAAGACTTAAAGCGTAATAAATCACATACCTCAAATCAGATGACAGAAGGTCATGAGTAACAACCTCATACAGATCAAATACAGCTTTAGCAGCACCTTTTGCAAGCACATCAGTTTCATTGCGTATCTGGCATAAACAATCCATTTGAAATACAAGAAATCAGAAACACATATGCAAAGGATAAAAAAGCCATGATATTGATAATAAATCTAAAAAATTCAATAAACTGCGTATGACATTTATTTAAAAGACCAGTTCAAAAGCAGTCAGACATGCATTCGAAAATAAACACCATAAAATAGTGCATCAATTTCCATATAATCAATGTGCTGCAGTAATTGTTTCTGTAGCAAGGTGGAAGACAAAAATATATATGAAAAAAAATCAAAGAAACCAAAAAAAAAAATAGAGAACCAGAGTGGACTGTACTTAAAACAATCATATGCAAGGAATAACCAACCAATCTACCACAACAAGCAGCTGAAAGAAGAGCTCCAAACTATACAAAATTTTGACACCTTGATTGACGCAAATGGTCAAAGAATATACCAGCAGCCCAGTTAAAGCTGTAAATCTTTGTAACACCAGCGGAAGATTCTTAAGGACTAAAGTTATAACGAGAGAACCCTCCATAATACTGTCGTTGATCTCACGGTAGATCCTTTCAACCCTACCAAACAGAAGGTCGCACAAACAACACAGCAATTAGACAATCATGAAATATAACATTCTGACTTTTGCAGAAAGAAGAGTAACACTCTAAATATTACAAAGAACAAAGATAATTAATACCAAAGTCTCCCTTCACCATCAACCAGAGAATACAATATTTTTTCGATACTGTAGTAGCATTCTTGAACAGCATATGCCATGTACTCATCCCTACATATTCTAATCCAAAGATCTGCCTGTGTATCTTTGCAGTCCAAAGCCAAATCAATTGCCAGCAAGATCTGTAAAATAAAAAAAGAGGTTTTTGAGTATACTACTAAAAGCTGCTGGCTATATATATCTTCCAGATAAAACCAAACGGTCATACCTTACTACTCAGAAGAAACAAAGGCCATTGAACTAATCTTAGACTTCCTGCGTTGCTAGGAATACAAAGCAAATCCATCTCCCTGGAAAGATAAAAATCATTAACACTCAAGGCATACCAGCCATGAGACAAAAACAAACTGGAGTAACATAAGAATATGCTTTAGATTTTTCTTCACATTGGGAAGTAGCAAGCCCCAGCAGATTACCTATTACTAATAAAATCCTCCTCCCGCAAACTTTTTATTATCTCATTCCAAAATGGAGAAAAAATGGCTGCATAAGTCTTCGAATCTTGAGAATCCTAAATGAGACAAGTCATACCTCAGCGCCAGGAATTTTATAGTAGGCAGAACAAGGAAGAAAAAACAAAAGGTGTAGCAGTAACAAGAATGGAGAAGATTGCAGAGCCAAAAGACGGACATGCAAAATAACCCAAAAACAAAAATCATGAGTGACTATTAAATTTTAAATTATAAGCATTTGTTGGAAGTCACCAATAAAATTCACTAAAAATAGATCTTCAAGAGGGTGAAAGC